CCGCGAATAAAAAGTTTAATTAATGTCGAAATATCTATCTGATTATAATTCTTTTGCCCCGAAAAATTTTTGAAAGGAATCCCATGAATGAAATTCGTGACGTACCATGCAGACTTTCTATCAGCTTCACTTAAATCGCTGTATTGGACGCCTAGCTCGAATTCATATAGAGACGCGAAGCCTGTGCGCACATTTACGATGGCTAGTTCTTTACAAAGAAACTGCTTATTTACGTTAAATCCGTCCATATCTATAATAAAGTCTATTCGCGACATGATTGATTTTTTAATATAATTATTAAGTTTTCACTAGCACACTGTTTTTCACTGTCACTTTGTCTTTTACAACAACGATTTGATATTTGCTCCGCATTATGCTTCGTCTATTTATTAACATGCACACATTCACTTCTCTCACATCGTTATAATCCATCTCACTCTCTCTCCAAAACGATAAAGTAGAAAAATACATCCCTCTCCATCCATATCGTTGCAAGATAGAGAAACTGCTGCAAAAAGAGAATGTGGTGCAAGAGAAAAACTGCTACAACGCATCCCTCTCTCTCGCTCTCAACAACATTATACTGAGATAAAAAACCTTACTTTAATAAATCTTAATGAGACCAAAATTCTCCGAGTAAAGCATCCGCGAGTTTCTCCGGATACAAAACCACAAACTTCTTAGACGTTGCGAACGATTGCAACAATGGCACGTTCAACTTCCATATCAATTCCCAACTCAGTAACAAATAAAATGTTCGCTGCAGAGGGAAAAGCAATTATGCAAAAAACAGTAAAAGAGAGAGAGACAAAAATATCTCTCTCTCTCTGTCCACATCGTTACTGCAAAGAAAAAACCGGGGATAAGGAGACTTCCAAAATCACTAATCATGGAAAGGATGTGGCAACAAACCGTTGCAAAGGTGGAAAAAATACATCTCTCTCTGTCCGCATCGTTTGCAAGAGAGAGAACAACCGCTGCATCCCTCCTCTCTCTCTCTCTCTCTCTAACTCTCTACAATATTATACCGCCTCTCTTCAAAAACACTTACTCAACGCGCGCGAAAAACATCGTTTTTGCAAGAGAGAGAACAACCGCTGAATCCCCTCTCTCTCTCGCTCTCTACAATATTATACCGAGATAAAAAAACGTTACTTTAATAAATCTAATAAACGAGACCAAAATCCCCGTTATCGTTTTGCAAGATAAGCAACTTCCGGGTAAAGCATCCGAAAACCTCTCCGGATGCAAAACCGCAAAACTCCTTATCGGTGATTCCCCCCCCTTCACACGACGCGTGCCGCTCACGATGACGCTTCCCTTACCTTTACCCCCCCCCCGGTTTCAGCCTTTCCCTCGCCCTTGATTGCAGAACGCAACTATTATACCTACTCTGCAGTAATAACTGCACCTACTCCTATTTCATCTTTAGTTCATTCATCAACATTAGTTACAGCTGGGGTATATTTATTTATTCGTTTTAATAGATTAGATTAGATTAGACCAGTCGTAAAAGCAACGAAGTCCAGATCCTCGGCCTTCTAATTTCTTTCTTTAGGGACACACGTAGGAAATCTGCTTTCTTTACGAAAATAATCCTAAAATTTCCTTTCGACCCCATCTGTTCATCAAACAATAGGAAGATACGTCCATACAACCGGGAAAGCATTTGTACGTGACGATTANACAATACCAACCACTTACTCCGAACATCCGTCCATACAACCGGGAAAGCATTTGTACTTGACGAAGATCCCAAAAAAGGGAAGGAATGTATGAAGGCGGGATGGTGGCTCGACTTCTGGTGACCTTGCTTTATTGGACCCCCATTGTATAGTCGGACACTTTTCAAAACGCAATAACTTTTTGGAAAGCATAATAAACAACTACTAATAGAGAGGGACCAGTCTACGAGATCGTTACTGGAATGGTTATATTGCTATTGCTTTGCTATTGCTCAGAATGGCAAAATAAAATAAATAACTCTCGTTTTTTCACTTCTTTATCTGAGCCTGTAACGAAGATTAAGAAAAAGCTTCTGGAGAGCTTTTTGAGAGAATAGATTTTTGCTATGCAGAGCATAAGTTATATGCTTGCTGGAAATCTAATCGAAATCAGGTCAAGTTATAAAAATTAGTAACTATGAGGATGATACTTATCATAGAAACAGGAAAACATAAATATTTACACATTCAACAATATTATAAGTGAACATTGTGAACTAAATACAACGAAATATATTTCGAATATGTCAGCATCCTGTGTCGGATAGCAAACCCAAAAATTCATAGTAATTACGGTAATCAAATCGAAAGTAGAGAGGAAGTTAGAATGTACTGGAACAACATTCTTTAAAAATGTCTAAAAATCCTATGTTATTGCTCGCGGTTGATCTTGCGATCGTTCGAGCCTTGAGAAATTTGCACGTTAGTGTGCCGACTAAAACTCTATTTTTGCTAACCGGGTGCTTCAACAATTAGCTTCCCGGGAGACCTCTGTATCCACTGACGGCTCAGGACGGATCAGGACGGTCGAATAACCGTGTGACATCCACTAGGTCACCTCGGTTATCCCTACCTTTACTTAAGGGTGGGCGGCGAGGAAAAACTGCCCAATCACGGCAGGCTCAAAACCGAGCGCTAATTGGTTAAAATGAAGATGGTTGGGACCTTTGGAAAGGGTACTGAGAACGCCTCCAGATGAGTTTCCTCCGCAAGGGAAAATTTGGGTATCTACCCCATCTGGAAGCAATTACGCCGAGTGGTCCAAGTCCCAACCCCGCTAACGGCCTGGTCGTAAATCAAGGATAAGTCCTTTACGGAGGACCACCATAAAACGGTCGACGGGGCCCATAAGTTTTACCATGGTCGAAAACTAACGTTTCCGCCACTGGGGTGACAGGCCCACACCCTAGCCATTAAGGACCTATGTGCCTGGCCCCCGCCGTGAAGTCCAGATGAGGAATCCCTAACATACCGCCCACCTTGAACTAATCGAGTTCAACCGCACAAGAAATATGATACAATGCATTTGTTTACTAGGGCTCCTAAACTATGAGTAAATATTGGATGCAGAAACAAGGGAGCTAAGAGTGGTACTACAACTAAATGACGATGTACAACTAAACTAAAAAGAGCGCGATCATGTACATTAGGTCTAAATCACTTATAGCCAAGGCGTCGTAAATCAATATATACAAACGCTACAGTTCAAAAACACCAATATATACATTAGACAAGCCAAAATGAACACTAAAACCGTCAAAAGGTTTCTGGGTTCGAATGTCCGTGAGCGTTGGGCAGGAGGCAGATCTTGGTGACGGGTCTCTTGTAGATTCCGTTGACCGTGCGAAGAACAACCACTCTGGTGATTCCATCCTTGCCCGGGTGTAACTCCAAAATGCGTCCCAAAGCCCAATTCATCGGAGGGAGGTTGTCCTCCTTTACCAGCACCATGGCTCCAACCTTTGGAACATCGGGAGATCCAACCTTCCATTTCGGACGCTGCTGCAGACCGTGCAGATATTCCCGTTGCCAACGTTTCCAAAAATGCTGGACCATCTGCTGTATCAGCTGGAATCGGCTTAATCGGTTCTGACGAACATTAGTGAGGTCGGCCTCCGGAAAGGCCGTCAAAGCTTGACCCACAAGGAAGTGACCGGGGGTCAATGGATTCAGATCGGAGGGATCTGTGGAGAGAGGATGGAGCGGACGGGAATTGAGGCATGCTTCAATCTGCGCTAAAACCGTGTACATTTCTTCATATGTTAGCTTCTGGTCACCTACAACCCTTTTAGGTGAGCCTTTACCGAGCGGACACCTCGTTCTCCACAGTCCACCAAAATGTGGCTCACGTGGCGGTATGAGATGCCATTCTATCCGCTCCCGAGCTAGAAATTCGCCAAGCCGATCCTTATGATCGTGCGACGATAGCAAGATGCCTAATTCCCTCAACTCATTTCGCGCGCCTATAAAGTTCGTCCCATTGTCGGAGTAAATTGACTGACATTTGCCGCGGCGGGCAATGAACCTTCTAAGAGAGTTGAGGAACGAATGCGTGGACAAGTCTACGGCAAGCTCGATGTGCACGGCCTTCGTTACCATGCAAATAAATAAACAAATGTAGCCCTTTCTACAAACGCAGGCACGTCCTCGATCAGTTAAGAGGAAAGGACCGGCGTATTCCACGCCGCAGTTAGCAAAGGCGCGAGCAGGAGTTACGCGGTCCGCGGGTAAACTTCCCATTGCGGGCTGCACGGAAACCGGATTGGCTCTGAAGCATTTGAGGCAATTTTTAATTACCTTTCTAACGGCGCGTCTACCAGAGGGTATCCAATATCTCAGGTGGAGAGATGAGAGCGTCTGTTGACACCCTGCATGCAACAAACGCACATGTTCGCGACGAATTAATAGCGTGGCTAGGGCCGGATAAGGGACTGTCATGCGTAACTAAGGCCTTTTGGCCATAGCCTCTGCAGTTCAAGTCTTCCCCACCTCCACGTGGTACCGGCTGTTTTCGCCGAAGGGGTTCAGGCTCTCGAATGACGCAGCAATAGTGGTAGCTGTCGACGGGCACAACCACTCATATTCATCTTACACACACTTTTCTACGCGTGCTTCCGGGCGCCCTTTGTCTCGAGGTGTGTGTAAGAGAGGCTTTCCCCTTTTTCCGGGGAGCCAGTGGGTGAATTGAGTTACTCTATAAAAGGGTTTACTCTTGAATGAAGGGGGCCTACCTATAAACGGGAATGCCCCGGCGGGTTATGAATGGGCCGGGTACCTAGTCAATAGGTACACTGGAATATGTATGTGTCTCCGAGTTCAAGGGGTTGCTGTCTGGGAGTGCGGTGCAGTGATCGTCGGGGGAGGGAATGACCGGGAGTCTTGAGGGGACTTCCTCGTGTCCGTGTGCGCCCCCTATCTGGAGGGTACAGCGGTTAACACCGGTGGGCACTGCCGGGCCGCCATTAGTAGGGGGGCCCGAACCCAGCCCAGCCAGTTGGGAGGCAGCCCTGCACAGTGGTAGGGCGTTTACGCTAAATCCTGCTTCCCGTAGTAGTGCCGAGTGGCGTCCGGACGGGTAGCCTGCTGCGGGGAGCGGGGAGGGGGGGAACCGACGAGGCCACCGGATTGTAGGGACGCTCGGACATCGGGGGGGGTCCAGGACGGGCTGCCGGTGCCCCTTCTCTCGGCGATCCTCCTGACCACGTTTATACATTTATACTTTCTACTACACTTTTGTCTTTGTCCTTCTGTGTTTCAACCAACCTATTATTATGAACAGTGGAAAAAATCAGCAGGATCACTCAGTGCCGCCTGCATCTCTCGGCTATGCCGAGTCAAGGGTGTTTCCCGGCACCCGCAATCCCTCCAAGTCGGTAGGCAACCAGGCCGACTTGGAAGCGTTGGCGACTGGAAGTCACCGCCGCGACGCCGAGCAGGAGGGTTCGCCCTTCCTGCCCAGGAGAAGTTTGGCGCGGTCTCCGCCGTCGGGATCCCGTGATCCCGTACGTGAGGCCGACGACGAGAGTTCCCGGACGGTGGCCGTTACGGCCTCCTCTCCGGTTCCTAATCCCTCCTCCCCCTTCTTCTCTCCCCTCCCCCCTTCCTCTCTCTTTACCTTCCCTTCTTCTCCCACCCTCGGCTCTGGTAAGGGGTCGGCGGGAAAAAAGAAGAGCAAGCGGAAGAGGACCGCGGTTTCATCGCCCGAGGAGGCGATTGACTGCACGTCTGATGAGTCGACGACGATGAGCGGCTGCGTGAGCCCCCTGCCTTGCCTGGAGACGCAGGTTAAGAAGGCGGTCGCCGGCACGCGAGCTCTCGGCAAGAGGCTAGGCGCCTCCATTGAGCAGGAGGAGGGCACGCGTAAACTTTTTAATTCAGTCATCAGGAGTCTAAACGAAGTGCAGCATGCTGTTAAGGCGATGAGGAGGAGTGACCGCGCCTCCTCAATCTCAACCTCAGCCCCTCGGCTTGCAACACGGAGCTCTCCAGCTCCGGCCACGAAGCCTGAAGGTCGTGGGGTCTCGACCGGCACGCAGACGGAGGGGACGGATCATATGGATACCGACAGTACGGCTGTGCCGAAGCTCAGGTCTTGCGGCACCCAGACCTGCGACCCGCAGGAAGTCGACGACCACGACGTCGTGGAGTGGACGCGCGGGTCCAGAGACTGGCCATCGCTGCGAGCCCTGGTAGACAAGAGGTGGGCGGAGACGGCATTTGTGACGACCACCATCGTCGAGGGCAACCCCCTCACTAGCTGCCCGGACGACGATCTGGCTTGCTTCGCCCCGGCTGACTTCGAGGTGGGAGCGGGTCCTGCCCACTTCCTCATCGACCGTATTCCGGGGGTTGCGGACCTGAGGGCGGACCCTCCAACGGTGGGTGAGTCTACGTTTCTCACCCTTAGGACATCTATACCGCGCCGCGATGCCCCCCCCCCCCCAGAATTCGCGAGAGGAGAATATTCTTTGCGGCCGACAGGGTTTCAGGGGCTGGTGTTTTTGTCGCGGAGAACGCGTTTAAGGCTCTCGCGCACCTAAGGGAGTTGGCGTTAGCCATTGCCTCCCACCCCGACATTCCTCGCGAGCCGTTTCGCAAGATGCTCGAGGCGGTGTTTTCGGGAACCGGGGTCGCGATCAAGATCTGGGGGATCCCGGCCGGCCAAGTGCGTCGCCCCCCCGAGCCGCCCTCAGACACGGTCCTGGTGAGGGGCGAGAATCTCACGTACGCTCAAATGCTCCGGGCCGTGAAGGATAAGGTCGACATTGACGGCGCGGGGATTCTCGTCTCCGACGTCAGGACCAGCAGGGAGTGGCATATGCTCATCCAAGTGAAGGGCGACGGGGCTAAGGCCAGGGCGCTCAGCTCTCTTGTGAACGAGAAGGTTCAGGGGCTTAGGGCGTCGGTCGGTGTGGGGAGGGGCCCTCTCCGCACCTTGCACCTTCGTCGTGTCGAAGGCGATGCGACCGCCGACGACATTAAGGCGGCCATCCACCGGAGGCTGCCCGATTTCCCGCCCGACAGCTACAAGATACGCGCCCTCCGGTCGGCATTCGCCGGGAGGCAGAATGTATCCATTCTGGCTCCCGCGTCGGTGGCGGCGCGTATCCTTGCTCTCAGCCCACTGCGCGTGGGCTGGAGCTGCTGTTTGGTAACTGAGCGCGAGGAAATTCTCCAGTGCTTCAGGTGCCGGGGTTACGGGCATCGGGCCGCCGAATGTGAAGGGCCAGACC